TTTTTTCGCGTGCGAGAAATATCCGCAAATTTTGCAACCCTCATTAATTTGCGAACATTTATCGCTTTGTCCTATTTATTTTGCTTTATATTGGTGGAAAATGTTTTTCCAGTCGCGAAAATTAATGTTCGCGAATTGTGTTCAAACTGATTCATCGCAAATAAAAAAATGAAGAGAATTATACTTTAACCAACTTTTATTCGCGTGTGAGAAATTTTTGCAAGGTTCCATAGAGTCTCGTCATCGCGAATATTTCTCGCCACGAACCGGTCCCTGTGTCTATTAATATATATCCAATCAAGTACTGAAAGCACTCATGGGATTTGAACATGGTGTTAAATAAAATCTTTGATCGGGAGGTGAAGTGAGTGAACAATATTATCTTTTCAAATACAGACAACGCGGGTATGTTAAGGAAGCATATAAATCATTTCTCGGTAAATTTAGACTTTTTAAAGAAAATTTAGTTTGATTTTTTACCAAGACAGCCGATGAACGTAAACTATTATTAACTATTGCAAAGCGATAAAAGAGTGTCTAACGCAAAGACGTGCGCCACCTCCCCGTCATCACGTGACTTCTATTTATAGCGAAATGTTCATTAATAAAAAAGCTAACAGAACAACAATACCCTGGAGTTTAATAATTTCTTTGAGTAAATAATATAGTCGAAAAACATCTATTCTGCTTTAAAAGTGCTACTAGAATCCCACTGTCCTGTCAGTAAAATAATCATTAAAACACATTCGCACGAAACCTTACCCGATATTTCAAATTTGATACATATGAACTGAAATTTTTCGTAAAACCATGCAGTTAACTCATGATTCTAGCAGCACGATCCAAATATTTTAGAGGGCAAACTTTTCATCTGTACAAATCTTATGTTTTGAAATATCCAGCTTATTGTTGTTCTGTTGCATTTTTTTTTGTCACGAATGACAGAGGAAAGGCCGACCGGGATACGTATATGTAGCTGACTGTCTTCGAAAGAGAATATAATCGATGAAAGTACATTCGCATACCTGTTTATTTAACTGAACTCCATCTGAATTTCACATAAAATTCATGCTTTTTGCTTTTAAACTCCATTTTACATATCTTTGTTCATGCTGTCTTAGCCAAATTCTCTTTACACGAAATGGTGAATTCCCAAGTTACTTGATGTACACATATGACGTCATCGGTCGTAGAATTTAATCAAAATGACACATTCAGCATAACAAAATGAAAAAAAAAATATTTTTGTTAATGTTTGCACGTTTCTATACATATTCTCATGTTAAATTACTTCTCTAAATACCAATATTACGAAAACTTGTGTTTTAAAATTGACGTCATCTCGCCTACCATGACATCATAATGTAGCACTGATTTAGTCAAGGTAGAATATTTTGGATGCTTCCTTATCCCCCCTGCGAACTGTTTCAGACTTTTTGAGTTGCAACAATCTCGATAAAAGACATTCAGAGACAATGAATAGAAAAAAAAGCATGGGCCATAATTCTTGCCTGCCTACATTAGTCCTCTTTTTATACCCCCTGCTTGAAAAGCGGGAGGGTATTTATTAATCGAGATTTCCGTCCATCTGTTTGTTACGCTTTAGGTAAACCCATCTCTTATCCGCAACTCCTCTTACACCACTGAACGAAACTTTCATAGAATCTTTATTACATATTGCCAATGTGCACCTTCTATTAATTTTTAATCCTACACATATTTTGGATTTCCTATTACAAAACATGGACACTGCCATTATATTCATATTAGAGGCGGTTGATCATTAATATAATTCACTGCTCACAGTCTTCAAATTTGTAATATATATTTACTTGGTACCTTTACCCATGTGTTATGAAAATTTCAGTTTCACAGGAATAATATCAATGTTGATAAAATGTGGATTTTCACACAGCATCCTATAAAGAGCAAACAGGTTTGTTATATAAAACTTCTCTGTGAATATAAATTAAATGTATTTCAATTACACGAATATTTATTTATACATGAGTACGTCAGAACTTAATCTTTTTTAATATTGTGAAGAAAAAAACAATACCAAGTTAAAAACAAATATTCAATGACCAAACATAAAAACAGTGGTATATGTGAGAGTTTGTGTGCGTACAAATTATCTGGTATGTAAATGAAGTTTTCCTTTTATTAAAAAAAAATTCATTTTGTTGTTTTTAATCGCGATTTTACGAAAACATCACTGTCCGTTTTTGGTTTTAACATTTATAACAGTACTAGATTTACTGCTTTTGGGAGGTGATACTGCTGATTTAGCAATAAATACGCATGCTTCCTAAAGTTTTGATGCAATAATGAATTCATTTAAACCAAGAAAAGTTTCATGAAAAGTTTGAAAAAATTCTGTGCACGGGTAAAAAAGAAATTACTAAAAAACCGGGACCATCGGGCGTCTAGAAGACTAGATTTACCGCTTTCTGCCAGTATGTAGAGTTGTCGTTCGTACCTCTCTCAGTGTATGACGCTACACTAAAAATGAGTTCCATTACGAAAAACTTTTGAGGTTCTTTATAATTTAGTTTTACTTTGAACGAATCTAATTTTCAAAATAAGATTACTTTTATATTACATTTACTTACATTTCAAATTATGAAAATTAGATCAGGAGAAAATGACATGAACTATTTGTGGCGGATGTTTATGCATGTTTTCTGTTGAATATCATCGGAGTAAATTGGGTGACACAGAAGACACTTTCGGCTCTATATAATCAACACAAATTACTGCGCATGTTAAATGCGTGATGACATGGGAGACTGAACATCCCAAAACTCCCAAAAAAGACTTGATCGCGAAAATTAATCGTCGCGAATTAGTTTACTTTTCGTTAATCGCGAAATAAAGTCGTTGCGAATAAAAGTTTGTTTACAGTTGTTGGTTTACAGTAACCCTACAGTACATGTACATACTGCCAGTATAAAAACAATTAAAGATATAAGCTATTTTAACTTAACGTGAATTTCAAAATTTATAAATGCATGCGATATGAGTATACATTTCAAAGTAAGACATCAAAAACATTTAACCATTTTTTTCATGGAAACAAATATTGTATGTCTTCTTTGAATACTTATCTTATAAGAAATTATTATGGGATAAGTATATCAATAACTTTTCTTAAGCTATTTTGTTGTTCCTGTGAGAAACCTCTCCCCCTTAATGGGATTTCTTTATTCTTTTCATCACAATGTGTATACGCAAGATGACTTTAATTCTTATCTTAATTTTAGAATATATAATCAAAGAATTAATTTTTGTTGGTTGATTGTTAAATGATAACGAATGGTTTACAAAAATTCTTATACATCGTGGTATCTTTGATAGTAATATTTACTAAATGTAAAGTTGGAAAGATAACTAGCAGTGGTCGACTAAAACAATTCTATATATAATACAAATATATGAAGAGGGCATGAAACATTGATTCTTGAAATCATGAAAGAGATATCGGATGCATAGTATTAGAAACCTCAGTCTTTTGTGTGCTTGCTTGCTTGCTTCAATTGAATAACGTCTTAAATGCACCTGCAATAATTACATCTTTGGGATTTAATTACACAAAAACAATAAAGATAAAGCTAATTGATAGAATTTTTAGAGAAACTTGAATCATATACAGTTCAGTTACTAATTTTATGGTATGTTTTCGGACAATTAAAAAGCCTACAAATCCGCGACCTACGTTAAATACCAACCTCAGAAGGACTTGAATGAAACTATAATAATGTTTTACTTAGTAACTGACCAAAAAAGTACAAATACGAATTTAATTTTTACAAAACAAAAGCAGCTGTCTGTGATGTCAGAGATTCCTTAACAGTCAACACAGATGGAATCGTTGATGAATAGGACCTTCAATACCCGCACGCAGTATACATATATGCCTGACAGAATAGCGGAGAAACATTGGTACATGTATCTGAAGGACACACCAATGGCATTTTTTTTTCATTTCATGCGCAAAAAAAAAATATAATATTATTTTTAAATATTAAATAACCACCTCTTCTTGTCTAAATATTGTTCCCTAAAATTAAAAACATAATAATATTTTAATTTTTTTTTATATAAATATATATATTTTTAATTTTTAATTAAATAGGTTTAGGAGAATCATTGCTTCCATTATATTTGGAATTCAGTAAGCATTGGATTAATATGTATAAACTAAAGAAATTGTAAAAGAAAAAAAGATCGATTGATTTGTCAGTTTGTTGACTTCGCAGAAGCATGGATTGCTTTCTCAATTACATATATATGTTGAATGTGCTACGATTTGTTCGGGAATGATTGTTTATAGGGGAAAAATATAAAGTGAGCAAATATTGTGATATCAAGATTGTTGAAAGTGCAGCTATTGTAAGTTTTATTTATTCCGTAGAATTGAAAAAAATTATTGTCCCTTTTTAATAAATCTATTCACCCTTTTATGTCATAATATCTCAATGCATATTGAGATCTGTATCACCAATTCTTGTCACATTATAGGTAATATTCAATTTTTTGGTAAATTCCTACAAGAGGAATTACTTGTTTTTGATCATGCTCTTCTTTAAAAAACATATTGATAAATAAGGAAATAATATTACTGAATATTGCTTGCATAAATTGTTCTACTTCATTATTTACATTCTATAACGGATTGGCTTAACTTTCTACAGCTCACATAAACGATTGTAATACTCAGATCATGGAAATGTCTTGATTAATAAGGAAATGCATTAGATATGTTTATATATTATGTTTTATTCTCCAGGATATATGTTAGCTGTTAATCACATTTTCATCAGTTGTCCAATTAATTTGTTATATATGTTACAAATTTGTTGAAATGTCATATTTTGTTAGTTCCATTGCAGTCATCGTTTTCTCAAATCCTTTATAAGTATTTTATTTCGTCGACATAACTTTTATTTAAAGTTATGTAGACGTAAGTGTTAAAACTTTTATTTCATAACAATTCCTTGTTGTTTTTACTTTCAAGTTATGAAAGATTCATATACTTTGCATCGTAATTTTACTTCTTGTGTCACGTCATTTCTACATACTCAGACACACTGGATTGTTCTATGTTATGCTGTACGCTTTGAGGACGAGGCTGCTCCGAATTCAATGTGCTATAGGCAAAATTTGGAACACCAGTTGTCGCAGCAGATTCAGAATTCTTAAAGTCCATATTTTCATAAGAAGATCGCATTCTGTTTAATAGTAATGAAAATAATCAGATAAAGATAATTAACAGATGTTTCAAGTAGAAAACAATTGACAAAATATTTAAGGAAACCGACTGGGGTTAATCTCAAGATGTCATAATTTAACGATTTGCTTTTATTTTTATGTTGTTATAAAAACTATGACAGATAAAACGGATTTAAAAAATAACATATAAACAATTTTGAGATTTTCAAAATTCTATGTTTCAAATTTCAAAAGTTTATATGATATACGTTTCCTTTTATAACATATTTTATGACCCCCTCTGAAAGAACTTCGCTTTGTTTTAACGTCACAAACACTATAATATAATTACGCCGTCAATCTATCTTCATGTACATTTTGAAAAAATAGTTTTAAAAGCTAGTTATTTAAAACTGTAAAAGCTTCAGTTTACTACAATGTGCGAAGTATTCCACAATAGAAACCCCAGTCGCTCGTCTTAACTATCGATGTTCTACAGATACAGCTTAATTAATTCAATTTTTTAAAAAAATATAAGCACTTTGCAAAGCAGCTTAATACCTTTTACGAGTTCTAATTATGTGGATAGTTAGGATGATAACGACTCCCGTCAGTATAATGTTCAATGTTCCACACACTATCACTCCAGTCCTGAACCACTGATCATTACATAAAACTAAAAAAAATAAACAAGTTATAATTTTATCTGGTTTCAGTAAATAGCATTACTTTTCCAAGAAATGAGATTCTGACATTTGATTTAATTGTGTGATCCTCGGTAAGCATAAACATATTGTTTCCTTTCAAAAACGTCATGTTCAAAAACGTTATTTAAAATTTTGTTTTTAATTTTTATTTTACTTTTTTTGCTCATGAAAAAAAAATTCTGTCATTGATTTATAATGATTAATTGAAATTTTATTTCTTTTTGATTTTGGAAAACAAACTAGAATCCTTTAAATGTAAAGAAAACATTTTTAATAAGTCTTAAATCGTAGCCTGGCGATGTTATCGATATACATGTACCTGGTACTCGTTCATTTTATTGATCATATCGCATCAAATGCGTGTTTCACCGGAGATATGTCAATACATGTACAACTGCTCGGTAATGTAAGAAAAAAATATGTTTTATTATGAACAATATTGAAATTTTACACATAAGGCAAATGATAAAAGCAAACCTTCAGTATAAGTCTCCGTTGTGACACTTGTTAAGTTATTTGCTTGCAATGGAGATACTATTGGGCTTGGAGGACAAGCTGAAAAGATAGGTATTTCTTGCTAAACAATGTTTCTTATTCAATCATTTACACACTTAAGTAATGCTTAAGATAAGAAATAAAAGATAACGAACAGTATAACTTCTTAAAAAGTTATGAAATTGGCTGTAATAAGATTGAGTAGATAGATATAATATATAAATCATTGGAAAAATATGTTCTGAAGGAGGACCATTCTGGATATTTGGTACATTAATGCAGAAAAGCCTCAAAATGTCTCATTTCTGTGCTTATTTTCCTTCAGAAAATTGTGTCTGCCACCGTCGCCCAGGTAAACCGCTTTGAAAAATTACATATCTCAAAATCTTTATGGGTGATGCATGCAGAGTATGCGAAAATTTCCATAAAAATTGATGTTTTCTTTACAATTTTCTATGGAAATACGGGGAAATTAACTAATTAATGACGTTACAACAAGGAGGTCATATGAGAAAAAAATTGTGTATTCTTACTGCAGGGAATTCCACTGATTCAGAAAAATAGATTTTAATTTCTTAAATAACTTTCATATTTTAGAAAAAAGGGCTTACTGTAACATGAATTGAATCTGTACCTTGATCTTAAATTCTCGGAACGTTGAACAATATACATGTACAACCAATCAATTAATCTTAACACTTCATACCATACACATCATTTACATTTACGATTATTAATGTTATTCTTATTCTCTTCACTCCATTTTGTTAGTTATATATACGTGTAGGTTTTCTTAGAAAGAATTTTGGTAATGTTTTGGCGAAAGAACAAAGATTTTTATCTTCAAATTACCGTGCCAGTAAACTTACTAATTAAAAATGATTTTTATTTTTATTTCCATTAGACATGTCCAGTTCAATTAATCTTGCCTACTTACATGTATCTACATGTGCAGTTGGTTGACTTACTTCTTCATATTTCCATTTCTATTTGTTTTCTCTGTGATAATCTTGCCACATAAGGCAATTGAACAACTAGAGGTACAGTAAGCAATGAGCTCATTAAATGATACCCCCACTTCCCATATGGTTATAACTGATGACAAAGTCCATGTTTTGCTGTGGCCGGGAAACCCAAAATATGTGTTGGATCAAAAAGTAAAATATAAGGTGCATAATGGCAATATGCAATGAAGATTCTGTGAGTTTCATTAAGTTTCAATCAGCGGTATGAGAGGAGTTGCGGATAAGAGATGGGTACCCATAAGCCTAACAGACGGACAGACGGACGGACGTACACACCGATTACAGTATACCCTCCCACTTTTCAAGCGGAGGGTATAATGAAGGATCCTATGTAGGGCTATTTTACAGTGAAAGATGTAAGGATGTCATGTAAGTTTATTGAACAGTTAGGCTCAGTAGGGCTTTTGAACACTGGGGGTGCTTTAATTTATTGACTAAGCATGGGATGAAATGAATTATTTGACAGTTCATAACTTATATATCAGATATGGAATACTCTTATTTAAAAAGAAGAGAGAAAAGAGGTCATAACAAATAAAGGACTATGTCTGATATGCACCTGTAGCGGAATCCTTTGTTCTAGAATCACTATATTCTTTTGGTAGAGATGTAGTTGAACAAGGTTGGCAAACTGCAAATATCGAAATGTACATTCAATTTACATGTAATAATTACATGTATTAGTATAGGAATTGACAAAACGAAGCGGTTTCTGTATTTTATATTTCTTATATGTATTTGTTTATGGTTCTTTTATCGAATTAAGGTTGAAACTGTCACAAATAATAGCACAAATTAAAGCAACAACAAAAAGAATTCATATGTTACTTTTGGTTCATTTTTATCGGGAATTCTATTATTACACACACAAAAAAATCAAATTTGTTTGCACTTATGTTCCCTTAGCCAGCCTATACGACGCCCTACGTTCATATGCATGTAGACCTAAAAGATAGCACAAATATGTGATCTTTTCTTTCTTAAATATTTGTGTCTTCCTTCAAATTTTCTATGTACATGTTATACTTTTTGTCTTCCTTATGACTTTTACCATAATTTTTATACCTCGTTACATAATCATGAAATAATAAGATCGTGAAACATTTTAAAACACTCACTATTGCAAAGCTACATGTATACTTTTGAATATATACAAAACCCTAACTTATTAAGGTGGTCGTATATATACCTGTAGAAGTGACCTCTGTTGTAGAACAATTGCATTCTGGTGATGGAGATGAAGTTGAGCATATGGGGCAAATACATGTTGGGCATGCTGAAATAAATAGAATAATTATTATGAATAAATTGTCTGTATTGTGAATTATTGATTTTTTTTATATTTGAATTCCTGGCATATTATAGTTATCACCTTGATTCTGTAGATATTTTGGTAAAATGAAAGATGATTATTATAATATACGAGGGTTGCCCGGAAAAATCGTTGCCAAAGCGTTTTTTTTTTCTAAAATTAATGGTCGCACTTAACTGAAATTTTCAGAAAATGTTAATTTGTCATATCTAAATGCATCGTAATTATTTTTATAAAGTCTAGACAAAAAATGAAGATTTTATTATGCTTGAATTGTACGGTTCTACAGCGCACAAGTAGAAAACCAGGGTTTCATTGGAGAATACACGGGTATTACATATGCTTCGAAATAAAAGTTTTACATAGAGAGGATTGTTGTGAAAATAATTCTTTTTTTTTTTATAATTCACTATCTATTGTGTCATCTTTTGAAAAATTTTAAGGCGTTTGCTTTGTTTTTGGCAATTTCCAGAGCATATCGAAATGGGAAAGTGATAAACACAACGTACGAAAAATTGCATCGTTTGATGACGTAGGGGCGCACTGAAGAACAGTTCAGTCTGATTTAGATGCAGTTATGACGCCCTAGGAGACTTTAAATATATACAGAAGAACAAATATTGGCAAATCTTTTGTATATACACATGTAAGTGAAATGGTACTTTTCTTAGCGAAATCTTTTTTGATTGAGTCCCCGGGTAGAACAAAACATACGGAAACACAGCTATGGTAATAGCAAAAGATGCTGTAAATGTCGACCGTTGATGTTATATTGCCTATTTAGTTTTGAATGATATTGAGAATACTATCAATTACTAACTAGTAGATCTTCAAAGGTTCCACGTATGTGCGAGATCCATTCCTTGACTGTTTACGGAGGAATAAAGGAAAATTAAAGTAAGTGCATCAATGAAATTCTTAAATTCAAGTGGGAGTTATCCAATTATTTTAAGCAAAGAAGAAACGTGATGCTGCTTATGAATCTTTGACGTAATCATCCCTGCGCCGTATTAAGAGAAACAATACATTACATAAAATATCATGATTTGTTTATTTATGCATAAATATCTATTTGATACAAGTATTTGCTTTATTGATGAAAAATTTACTTAATATTTGTCACTCGTGAAATTTGTTATATCAAGAATTTTTTACAAGAATTTTTTTGGATTAAATTTAGTACTTACATAGTATGACTCAAAATCGCAGTGAAAAAAAGAGTCAGTGTGCATCTTACTTAGTTACGATATAATTAAGTTGACGTTTTTGCACCAAAATTTTATCTCTTTTATTAATCACTTTAACTTTTATCATATTCTTGCAGATGTAACAGTGACTATAAATATAATCTTATTTTACGTAAAATAGGCACAATAATTATCATTGAACAAATATTGCAAATTAATGCGCGTAAATTATTGTGTAACCTTTTTGCACTAAAATATAACTTATTTTGGGTATTAAAAATCTAAATAGGCAAGAAAATATTTTCTTGTATCAATTTTAAGTCCCGATAAATAGTAATTGTCGAGTAGTTTAAAATAATGAAAGAAACATTTGAGGGCAGTGATGCAAAGAACTACGATCGATAGTATTGTTCTCCCGCCTACCTCTACGTCAATTCTCAAAAGTTAACATATTCGAATGATTTTCAAAATTTTTATAGATTATTATATGAATTTTTATAAAATGTTACTTATTTGGGATACCAAGGAGAGATAACTCTTTAATTTTGGTAAAAATTGTGTTTTTCGCTATAGAATTCAACGGAAAACGGAAAATATTTTTAAAACATCCCCCCCCCCTCGTGAAACAAAAATTCCTTTTTACAGGTAATATGGACTGTCATTTTACAAATTTATGCCAAAGCTTTCTGTGTTTCATGGGGGGGGGGGGGAACATACATGTATGTTTATAGACAAAAAACGAAAAAAATGCTGATTTTTTACCAATTTTAAAGCTATTTACAACTAAATAATTGTATTTTATTAATTTATATATGTTTAATTTATTTGCATAAAACACAAGAAAGATATGAGATACATTTTATCATATTTAAGACTATTTCAAAATATGGTGATTCTTGAAAGTTCGAGTTCACTAGAAAATATCGTCTACCCTCCTTTTTTCAACAGCTAGAATTAATGATAATTTACTATCTAGCGCTGGAATTAAAATGATTAATCAATTACCATATAACTGTTCTTTGTATGAAACAAAGATTTAATGGCCAAATTGCCATTAATATTGAATTTAATGGGTGCAAAATGTAGGAGGGAATCAAGAGTTAGAGTTCGTAGTTCTTTTGAAATATTGGTCAAAATATGATTTTCAAAAAACGGTGTACATTTTATTTTGATCTTTTGAATATATTATCATATCTTGGCAAAGTTTTTTGGGAGAAGGTGTAAAATTTTTTCTACATTGTAGGTTCCAGTAAATGTTCAATCAAGCATCTTTCTTTACTCCTCACTAAGATATTGACAGAAACGAAGGAAAATTCTTCAAGAATACTGTGCAACAATATATTCAAAATGTGTGAATCAGATTTGGATCCTCAAAAATTCCAAAAAACTTTTGGACAAAAAAAATATAGAAATCATGAAATATTATGAAATTACAAGATTTTACCAAAGTCAACAGCTTTAAAACGTACGACTTTTCAGCTTTATGCGCAACCATTCCCCACGATAAATTAAAGCCCATTTGCAAAACTATTTTGTTAAAACACATTCTGATTGCACACACAAGTACTCTGAAGTTGACATAGAAAATATGCTTGAGTTTCTGATTGACAGTTTCTGATTGACAATATTTATGTGGTTTTTAATGACCAAGTCTTCCAACAATCTATTGGAATCCCCATCGGAACGATTTGTGCTCCATTATTAGCAGACCTTTTTTTGTATTTATATGAAGCAGAGATAGTGCAAAACCTGACTTGTGACAAAAAGAAAACACTTTCTATGGCCTTCAACTCAACATTTAGATATATAACGACGACGTGGTATCATTTAACAATGGTAAGTTCTATTCCTATGTCGATACAATATATCCATGGGAACTTGTAATAAAAGATACCACAGAGTCTGTCACATCTCCTTCATACTTGGATATTTTACTTAAAATAGACGTTAATGATAATCTAGCAACCAAGCTCTGTGATAAACGTGATGACTTTAACTTTTCTTTAGTCTACTTCCTTTACTTATACAGCAATATGCCTTTTTACCTGCATACCGTGTTTATATATCTCAATTGATTCGATACGCAAGAGCATGCTCTACGTATGAACAGTTTCTAAAACAAGGTAAGTTATTGACAGACAAGTTGATGTAACAAAAATATCAGCAGTTTTGTATAAAGTCATCATTTCGTCAGTCATTTGGTCCATACAATGACCTTATCAACAAATACATTTTATCATTGAGTCAAATGCTGACTGACGTTTTTTATACTAATTGTTAGTCCATTATTTATACATTGATTTGACGACGGAGATTTCCGTTATTTCCCGATCATGATCAGGAGCACACTGCCGGTGTGAACGATCGGCAGGGGATGCTCACTTCTCCATGGCCCCTGATCCCACCTCTGATGTTTTAGAGGTCCGTGTTTGCTCTGCTCCTGTTTTGTATTGTTTTATGAACCTGTGTTGTATTGTTCGTTATCTCCATATCCTTCATTCTGGAAATATTATTTGAGACCGATATTTAATATATATATTCCTATCATATCATTACGATCA